GCTGACACCCAGCTCATACAAATCATAACAACTACTGTGATTAGACCATTAATTAAGATGAATTTAACCATAAAGACAAACAGTTTGCACGTTTTATTGCTTGTACCACAGCAGTTACTAATCCTGATTCCCTGTATGTCTTTCTCCGACATTGTAAAGCAGCTCCATCACACGCAGAGGAGAGAGACAGTCTAAATATTCAGTAGAAATGTAGAGGTGACAGACGGCAGAACTGCAGTAATGTACTGTAGATCAAAATCTGAGCAGAGGACGGTACATTTTGTCGACACCTTACATGGAGACTGGGTCCTGGCTACGTCCTCCGTCGGACACATTTCTCAGCCCGAGAGGTGGCAACTCTCATCTTTGGTGTCTGAGACGACCTGAATCCTGACACCGTGCACATCCAGACCCTGACAGAGATACCATCTGTGATGACTGCAAGTCAGCAGAGGGCATCTGCTCTGACTTCTAAATTGGCTTAAATTAGGTATTGCCTGCGCTGACACATGACCGAGGGGCAAGTCTTAAAAATCGGTCAGATCTTGTTTTTGTCACAGTTTTCTCCACATCTGACTGATATGGTTTAAGGAGACACAGTTGATTCAAGTTCTGCCAATAGTGCCAGTCCTGGCTGTCTCCATCTCTGCAGGCAGCAATTTGGTGTGTATTCAGTGCAGCTTTAGTTTGGCAGGCCCCAAGAGAGACAGGTTGTCAGTGAGAGGAGCCTGAGAATAAACAGTTTCATCAGGGAGAGTGTGTGATGGAGACGGACAGATCAGAGAAAATATAGAAATAGGAATAGAAATTGTCTCCATGATTGAACACCCAGAAAAGCTATTTGACAAGGGTAATTATTTCTGTAGTTATTAATGTGCCTTTGTAAGGATGAGAGCTGCTTCACTTCTGGCACTCCACTAAGTGGACACTGGCAAAGCAGCGACGACGCTTGGACTTCACAGCTCTAAGTTTTTTTTCTCACTTGCAGGCTTTTCTTGCATTAATGAGTGTTCTGAGCCGAGTTTCGCCACAGCACCCACACGCTGCGTGCCGCGGACGTTCAAAAACAGCCAGATGAAACAGCTCACTATGAGGTTTTTACTGGCTGCAGAATTGGCTCTGTGCAGAGATCACTATATATTCACCTCCTGTCACTGTTACCATGGCAAGGAAAGGAAGAGCTCTGTCTACAGAAGCTCCACTGCAGCCATTTCCCTCCGCTGCCTTCACATCTTCACGGTTGCCATGGAGACCAGGGAATGAGCATGACTGCACTGTGCGTCAGACATGCCGGAAGGGGCGACGTGATGTGCTTTTCTCCCCCCCCCCCGCCATGGCTTTCACTCTGCTGTGTCAGAGGCTCTCAACTTCAGCATCACCAAACCACTAGCCCCGGCTCAGCTGCACACGGAGAGGCATGTGCAATCACACCGAACGCAAGGTGTTACCCAGGAGAGAAATACCTGCCCCAGGTGTTTGTTGAATAACAGGCCTGAGTGAGGTGTTAATTGCTAAATGCCACTCAAAGGCCTCTCTAATTGCCCGACATCATCTGCGTGTGCTCTCACATTTGCTGAAGTCCTACAATAATATTTCTGTAGAAATATGACACGTTCCTTTTGCAGACATTTTGAAATGTTCCGCGCAGATGATACTTTGTGAAAGTGTCGGATGTGTTAGAGTCTGTGGTGTAAAGCTTCACACAATGTCCAGTCAAAAGGGGGAAAGAGAAGCCTCGATCAAAGCCTCTCATTAGATCATCATCATGGGACTGTCAGCCGGGACAGCGGTGCAGTCATTTGAAGGTCAGTTATGGGATCAAGCGAGCCTCTGGTTTATTGACCCGGAGGAAAGAGCTGAGCGGACCAGCCGTGTCACCGGTGGAGCAGTGGAGCTGTCTGTGGTGCTGATCTCCTGCCTCTGCAGTGCTGAGGTCCACGAAGCAGCACATGAACACAAGGATCAGTCTTAGTGGCTTTCAGGAGAGACGCCAACCAGGGACGGTGTCTGTAAAACCCCCTGGTTGTTTTTTCAGTGTTATAATTTATTAAAAATATTGTAATTCGTCACGTTTTCTTTAATTTTTTTCTTTTGATTTTCACATTACAAACCGGAATACAAATAAATCATTGTATCCAACCATCAGAGCTGTGCTTCCAAATTAAAGTCAGCAATCTGCCACAGAGGAGAAAAATACAGGGCTCTGATTCCATCTGAACTACCAACATCAAAAATGTCTGCCATGTTAGAAGAATTTCAGAACAGACCCTCGAAGGAGAGTATCTTCTCTTCTCTAACTTGATGTATTGCATAAGACATATGATCCAATGAAAATACTTCGGGGGTCTTTCCATCTAAATAGAAAGAGTCACAGGATGGCCAGCATGAGAGGGGATGGGTCAAATTTTTCTTCTAGTATTTCAGTTTGACTTCTCAATGTATCTTCCACTCACAGTGCATTATCATTACTTCAGTCTTTATTGAGCTTTAAAAAATGTTTTTAATGTACTTTTATACCTTCATGGGGTTTAGGAGAAACTTTTAACAACATCCAAACTTTGAATTTTTGGTTTGTTTCTAGTATATATATTAAATAATAATAACAATGCATTTTATATAGAGTTATTTCTGTTAAAAACACAGAACATCTAATTAAACTAGTTTATGCTTTTTAATTGAATTCATTTATTTACTATTATTTATTTTTATTTTATGCTCCATCCATTGATTCTTGATCATGGCAGCACTGTTGACATTGAACGTGTCTTTTTGTGTTTCTCTCATCTCGTCCAGATATATCCTGGAGCAGTGGAGCTCATGCAAGTCATAGAGGAATTCATCCACATCGTTGGACTGGGCATGAAGGATTTCCACAACGCCTATCTGATGACTGGGAACCTGGGTAAGAAGAAATCAGTCCCACTTTTTTACTCCCTCACCTCGTTTATTTTGCAGTTTTTCTTTCTGCCTGACTTGGAAACATAATCCCTTTGCTCCGCTCACTCCTCGTGTCAATTTCCCTTCCGTCATTAATTGAGGATAAATGACGCATGGTGAGGGTAGGGTGGGGGGGTTAAAATTACTGCAAAACTATAAGGTTGATTAAAAATTTAGATTGTGGTCTTAATGTGCTAAATTCCTATAAAAACACTTTTTTTATTAAGTTTACAAACTTTTCTTAACTGGAGCTACAAGCCCTCGAGTTAAGTCACTTTTACTTATAGAACATTTAATAACAGAAGCTGACCAAAATCTTTACAACTGCAGCAAGTACAATCAAGTTATTGATAAAAAAAAATATATGCAAGATATTTGTGTAGTAATATTTTCATATTTAAAGGAAATTAATAGAAGAATAAGATGGAAAAGACTCATTTTAATTTATTTCTAACGGTCTGAACTATAAATGTCAGATAAAATATTTGTGTTGTACTCGGAGGTGAAGTAGGAGTCTGATGTTGCACTTTACTGCAGTCCTGTGGGAGAAGCTTGATTTGCAGAACATGCCCTGCCCTAAAGCATGTTGTGCAGAAGTGCAGCTTCATTAAAAAAGTCAGTTTCTTGCGAGATTAACAGTCATGGAAAAAATATGGTCAGTGTCTTTTAAAACAAGATTAAATTACAGGTTATTCTTTGCAGCTGTAATGAGCTCACAAACAAATTTTCTGCACTGCTGATCGTGGTCCAGATTTCAACTCCCCCTTCTTCTGAAAAAACTTCAGCACGTGGAAATGAGTCTTTGAGCAATATTTCTCCTCCCTAATGTTCCTATGGGTTCTTTTGGCGTCGCGCAGCCTCTTGGATGATCTGAGGCCTCGCTGGCATTTCATTACTTACTAAGCTGTAAATGGTGTCTTGCTGCAAAGGAATAATAGAACCACTGTGCTGATTTATTCATGCAAGTGAGTGTGAGCATGTACAGCTGCTGCTGGTGGGCAATTCCTCTGATGGGGAGCGAGGCCTCTTCCATGTATTCTTTACAATAACTAACATTTGACCCACTTCTAGCAAACACTTGCACTCAGAGGCTCTTTATGGTGTGTGATTTCCATAATGATTTATACTGTAAGCGGCCCCCAGGAAAAAGCACGACAAACATGGTGCGATGAATGCAACCATCAAAATGCCATTACGAAACAATGTGAGAGACAAATTAAGTAACAGGCACTTGGAAATGAGGCTGAGACGCATTTCATGACATCGAGCATTAATGACTTCTTTCACAGATACTAGAATATTTACACCCTCCAGTTTGGCTTAATGGTGGTCATCTGATCTCTCTGCCACTGCCTCCTCTTTATGCAGGAAAAAGCATTTACACATGACCGTGCTTTATTGGCAATATGGAACTTATTCTTTGAAATCGAGTTTCAAACTAAATTCTTTCAAAAGCAGCACATTTTACATCGATAAATATAAATTACTTGACTTTTGTTTTTAGAAAGCAGTTACATGACCGTGGGGCCTTCACTCAATTCTGTAGCACTATGGATCAAACTGTGTTCCTCAGACAAGATACGATAGAAAATCTTTGGCTGAACACGAAGCAGTGATGCAACTCAGCAGTGTGTTTCCTCCATGCTCGTTCATTCTTTTTATTTTCTACAAATACATATTTTACTGCTGATTGTTTTTAAGTTTGATTTTTTTCAGTTGATATATTTTTAGACCTGTCCAGGTACGTCTATAAAAAAAGCACCTTTCTCAGACCAAAGTCACAAAGTGCTTCACATAAATAAAATGACACCAGAAAGTATAATACATAATGAATAAAAGCAATGAAAATAGTGGGAAATATGCAACCGAAAGACAATAAAACCCCTCACATTCAAACAGGGAATGCACCAAGCGAGACGAAGCCAGTCAGAATGTAAATCTAAGGGGAGAGTATAGTGTTCTGGCTACAACTTTGAAAGTACGATCACTTTGACTCTGTCAGGGTTTAATGTTTGCAGGACCCATGTGCAGATAACGGACTGAGCAGCAATGAATATACATACCTAATTAAATCAACTCACAGTCACTGGAGGGCAGGTAGACGAACTGAAAATCCAAAACTCCACAAAAAAACTCCAAAGAACAAAGTAGGCTAACGACGGTTGAGTGAAACTGAAACACTGGAAGCATGAACAGACAACGTGAACAAGACAAAGGGAAACATAGAGATGCACAAGGGAGGCAGGGATAATGAACCCAGGTGAAACACATGAGGACAGGTGCAGACGGGAAACAGGACAAAGACAGGAAGTAAAGCCAGAGAGACACACAAGGCACAAAGTTTCAAAATAAAACAGGGAATGAAAAACAAAGACAAATCCAAAAATCCAAGTACAAGTTGATTCTAAGTTCATAACATGACAAAGTGCAAAGGCGAGAAAAGGATGATTTATTTGTACAGCACATTTCAACAACAAGGCAATTCAAAGGGGTTTACATAAAATATAAGGGCATCATGACAAATTGTAAAAGCAACATAAGACAATACAAACAATAATTATTTATAAGTTAAAAAGGAGTTTAATACAGAATTAAAAAGATAATCAAATAACATTAAAAGTGTGAAAATAACAGTGTAGATTAAGAAATTAGTAATTTACTGTATGTGATGTAGGCCGGGGCCTGACCATGCAGTGTTACCTTGAGAGGAGGCCAGTTTAAGGACCTGAGGACCTGGACAACAGTAAAGCAGAAGCGTTCCGGAGCACTTGAATCTTGAGACTATTTATTGATTCAGGTGAACACTGGATTGAAGTAATTCACCATGATCATCTGTTGCTCTGCTTTGACACAATCGTCCTACTCAGACAGCAAACGGATGTGGGCCACTTCAGGCAATGATGTAAATGGTGACTATGGCCCAAATACCACGAAACAAGTCAAGGCCACTGACCTGTGGTATTGCTGTGGCTTACGTGTGGCCCAGATCTTTCAAACAGGAGCACATGGTCCAAGCACCATCATTCCAGTGTTCAACGTGGACCAAATCTGGGCCAAAACACTTCTGCTATGTGGCTGAGTTTGGGTAGATTGGTGAATGAGTGGCTGGGTGATATCTGTTTGACAAGAAACTTAGAACCTAAAACAAACTGCTCACCACCGTCGTTATTTTGAGCTTCATAAGTGATTGGACATAAAATGTTTTCCGTGCACCGTGAGCTTGTCACTAATGACTCTGACTGCTTTAATGAGGAAACTAATTTTTTAAGACACAAGTCCAACTCTGTTAAAATTAAATATCTTTATATCACTTACAGAAAGTGCAGATGTCTCACACTCTTAGAAAGGTGAATAGTTCACTCCTTTTTCCCATGAATGCAAATGAAAAGTAGATTTGACCAAAAAGAAGGCATAGAGACCTTTTTTTAGAGAAAGTAGATTCCAGAGGTCCTTTTTTGCATCGTACATCTCTTATTCCATACGATTTGTTATTGTCTTGAATCTGTATCAACCCTATTCTTAATTTCTAATAAAGCAGATTGTCAATGTACCCCGAGACAATTTCAGAAAACTCAAAATTGACAAATCTCTTAATCTTCAGAAAGGGCAACATATCTTCATGAAGGAAAGAAATAAAAAAATATTTCATTTGTTTCACTTTCACCCCCTAACCAAGCTTAACATGTATTCAGAGGATTTGTTCCCCTTTGGTAGCTCACGGGAAAAGACTGATGAAGGCTGAAAATGAATTTTCTATTTTGGTTTTTAGCATATTTAGAGTTTATGAAATGTTTATACATGAATTACTCGAATGAACTCTGGAGAAAACGTTTTGTGATGACTGATTCAAAAAAAGCACACACAAGACTTTCCCTCATTTTTTTAAAGAACATATGTGTGGTTTTAAAATAACTCTGGAAAAACAGCATCATTATCATTTTTGGTCTGACAGAACCAAGGAAGGAAGATTTTAAAGGTTTTTTGGGGGGGAAGATCCTCGTACACAAGCTGAGGGGTTATTTGGCTTGTGAGCAGTTATTTGAAGATGTTGCAGTAATGAGCTGCCTCTGGCTAGAATCATCCAGAAGCTCACTGGCTGCTGGTGGAAAGCATAAAGGTCTTGTAGGGAGAAAGGACTGCGTGTTCTACCTTCAGAGAGAAATTCCTGCTTTTTCATTATGATGAAAAACTCCATATTGAGGTGCAGTTTACATTTGTTTTTTCACATTTTATTCCGTATTTGCATGAGTCATATGTCAATCTCTGTTTTGCCGAGACATGACTAAGACAAAGGGATGCAGAGATTTTATGGTTATTATTTCACAGCTCAGTCTTTGGTTGCCAGCCACACAGTCATTCAAGCTCGGGCCTTGTGGCTTGGCTCTTTTGATTAAAGGAATGGAAAGTTTTGTGGAGCCATCGGTCGAATCCAAGTGGACAGCATCTGGCTGAGTACGATATTGCGGCATCATTTCGTCACTAATTTATGGCAGCCTCTTGACACCTAGATAAATACTGGCTGTCACCAGTGCGTCGTCCTCTGTCCTCCCACTTTTAGTCAAATAACCTTGATTGCAAAAAGGCTCCGAACTCCGGCAACTTACTCTCTCGCTGCGCAAGCACTTGGAGGACAAAAGTGGATCTTGGGACATGTTAGAAATTAAATTAAATGCCACTTTGAAGGTGGAACACATCATTCACTTTTGACATTTTTTTTCTTCTAGCAGTCTATTGTGAGCCCGCACTCCATGGTCTGGAGAGTATTTTGACACTAATAGTGATTAATCGTAATTACACCCAAAATAAGATGCTGCAAATGCTCTGTGATTTATTGTTTGTGTCGTCTGACTTGGACGTGTGGCTTAATGCTGAGTCTCTTATGAGCACGTTCACATGTAATGTGCATTGCTATGATTCCCTCAGCGGATCTGTGTTCAGAAGCATCACAGTTCAACACGATTGCTTTATTTATGCTGTCTAGTCCCATCAGGCGAGTCGAAAGCCGCATTTACCTGCAGCATTACCCAGAAGCCTATAGCGGCATGTGTGTCACAGTGCGCCTCGTGACTAAAGCCACCGACACAAACACACACAAACACTTAGCTACTGCTGCTCCCAACATCTGGCGCTGTGAACAGGGCCTTTGTGGCGCTCTGTGATTTCATGCCCACGGCTCGATCATCCCAAACACAAGAGACACACCTTCCCTGTCACAGATTTTCACTCAGTTGTGGAGTCTTTCCAAGATTTAAAATTGTAAAACTGGCAGGGCCTGAGGAACAATGGAGCTTGTGCATCAATGGAAGGATTAGCCTCAGATTCCTCTCTCTCTCTCTGTGAAGCACCACCTGACAGGGACTGGATGTGACACCAGGTAGAGAACAGAGATGCTTTATCCCTCCCTGTGTAATGCTGAGGCCGCTTCAGCTGATCCTGAGTATTTTCCTTGTCGTCGTATGGACTGGTGTTTTATTGCACCTCACCAGGGAGGTGAGAGAAGAAAACAGTGATTACGGAGATTACCACTTTACAAGTTGTCATGTGGTAGCTTTGATTTTCCACCTTGTGGTAAATGTGGATGCATTGCAAGAAAACCACTTAGGAATGATATTATAAATGACTTGCACATCGCCCTGTGTACTTATGTTTTTTCTCTGGCTGGTCCAGCTTCCTCCCACATCCAAAGACATCCAGATTTGTATTCAGTTATTTGTTTAAGTGAGGATTTCTGAGTTCCCTGTTTATCACAAGTGAAAACATAGGCCTGTCGTGCTCCAGAAACTGAGGCTACATCCACACTGTTTTAGTTCGGACAAGCCAAACCGGACATGATTTCAACGATGACATAAACACTCACAACTGCTTGCTGATTGAGTCTTTTCATCCCAGGACCACGACCTAGCCTTCGCCTTGGCTACCAGGGTGGAACGCAACATGACAAGCATTACTGACAATGTCGTCTTTGCTAACTGCTGTTGTGCAGTTAAACTCATTTAACAATCCAACACCTGTAGATAGGAGACAAGCCGATATTCAAGCAATCTGTAATGATTGTAGCCAGACTCTTGTCCAGTATGCGAGTGGTCGCGTGGTATTTTTTTTTTCAGACGTGTTAGTATGGACAGGGATTAAAACTGATACAGAGCCAAACCATACATGTAGCCCATAGATGCTAACTAGAAGTCACGGTTATGTGGTGTTAGTTAGTGGAGTATTTCAATTTGCAGGCACCAACCCTGTGTTTTTGAATTCAGGTCATGGGATTATTGCATAGTGAGGAGTTGTGGTTTACAGGACCCAGAGAGCAGACGTCAGACGAAGCAAGTCATGCAGAGAAAGAATATTTAATCTAACACACAGGCTTTAAGTATCTGCTGGCAGATAGGTAGACAAAGAAAAATAAAGTTTGTGGATCCAAAACTCAAACTCAGGCAAAAACTATGGAACAGGAATAAATAACGAAAGCGAGTACGAGGTAGCACCAGGGAGCACCAACAGGAACAAAGCCAGACGAAGTGACAAAGAAGACTGAGGAGCGGGGAAACTAAATACATGAGGGAGGTGAGGGATAATTGGGCACAGGTGAAACATGAGGGAGGGGCAGACAGTCACACATGCAGGAAACTAGATAGAGACAGGAAGTAAAGCAAGTGAGAGAAACACACAAAATGAGTAACTTCAAAGTAAAAAGAGAACAAGTCCAAACAAAAGAAAATGAAAAGTGAAACCCCAAAGCCCTCATTGTTGTAAGGATCTAAATTACAAGTACAAATCAAAAGAGTTCCCTAAAGTAATTCTCAAGCCTCCAAGAGTTTATATACGGATCACTGATTTTCTCTAAAAGAGTAGAACACACTCTTGTTGCACAAATCTTGATATAGAAATAGAGCAGATTAGAGAAATAATTGCATGTGTTTGGTAAATACATGTATTTGTTTTGCTGATAGTAAGATGCTAGCATATCTGAGGTTCACCCTGGGTTCAATCATTTTCACTTCTTACCAGCATAAATCACCAGCTTTCAATGAGTAAATTCAACATCTATGAGCAGCCATTCTAGTCTCAGCATCTTGCCCACGGACACTTTGGCATGCGGATGACTGGGATCAAACCGTAGACCTTCTGGTTGGAGGA